CTAATTGGATACAATAGACTGGTAGTGCTGAGCTAATACCTTTAAATGTCTTGTCTTGTGCCATTAATATTACCTTGTCATGCACCTGTTTAAGCTATTGGAAGAATGCCTTATGTTCATAGTCTGTCACATTTAACAAATTATTTTGTCAAGTCATTCCTTATAGCCTGTGCTGATGGATAGTTAAACTTGTGGTTTCCTGCATATATAAAAACTGTTATCTGTACCTTTCAACTTCCATGCAAGGGCATCCAAAATTTCAGATAATCAATTTATAAAGAAACTACAATGACTCTCTACATGAGGGTTCAGAAATATGCTACTGACAGCTATGAATAATAGCACATAAACTAAACGAGGATTTACTAAATTTATATTTATCAAATCAGCCACAATGCAGAATGCTAACAGTTCAGTTTTTGCAAAAAGAACAGGAGTACTTGTGGGATCTTAGAGACTAACAAATTTATTTGAGCATAAGCTTTCGTGGGCTAAAACAGTTGACAAGCAGTTGACAAGACACCTGTGAGGACCTTTTTGTCAACTGCTGGAAATGGGCCATTTTGATTACCACTACAAAATTTTTTTTTCTCTCCTGCTGGTAATAGCTCACCTTAACTGATCACTCTCGTTATAGTATGTATGGTAACACCCATTGTTTCATGTTCTCTGTGTGTGTGTGTGTATATATATATATTCCTCCTGTATTTTCCACTGCATGCATCCAATGAAGTGGGTTTTAGCCGATGAAAGCTTATACTCCAATAAATTTGTTAGTCTTTAAGGTGCCACAAGTACTCCTGTTCTTTTTGCGGATACAGACTAACATGGCTGCTACTCTGAAAACAGTTCAGTTTTTGTGACTGTGGACTCAGGACCCTTGTGTCCAGCTCTAATAATAAGTTAGATGTTCATTACTGTATAAATCATTTCTATATTTACAGTATTAAGGTCCAAATTGCAGTTATCTGATCTCCTTTTTCATTGACGTCTAATGTGTTTTTTAAGAGTAGAGGTACTTGATACTACCAATGAAAATCAATGGTGTATTTTTAGATATTCTTACAGATTTAATGGTCTATTGTAAGAGAGCATCATGACATAGTCAGAAATATAACACTGCATTGGCCAGAGGGGGAGGGATAGCTCAGTGGTTTGAGCATTGGCTTACTAAACCCAGGGTTGTGAGTTCAATCCTTGAGGCGGCCACTTAGGGATCTGGGGCAAAATCAGTACTTGGTCCTGCTAGTGAAGGCAGGGGGCTGGACTCAATGACCTTTCAAGGTCCCTTCCAGTTCTAGGAGATGGGATATCTCCATTCATTAATTAAAAAAAAACTGTATTGTTCGTATCTTAGATTCCAAGCCCAAAAGGGACCATTGTGATCATGTAGTCTGACCTCCTGTATAACACAGGCCAGGGAACTTCCCCAAAATAATCCCTAGAGCAGATCTCCTAAAGGGAAACAAAAAACCCAATTTTGATTTTAAAATGATCAGTGATGGAGAATCTGTCACAACCCTTGATACATTGTTCCAGTGGTTAATTACTCGCACCTTAGTTCTAGCTGAATTTATCTACCTTCAATTTCCAGCCATTGGATCAGGTTATACCTTTCCTGGCTAGACTGAAGAGCCCATTATTAAGTATTTGTTCCCCATATACCTATTTATAGATTTTAATCAAGTCACCCTAATCTTCTCTGTGTTAGACTCAAAGAGCTTATTTTAGCTTATCATTATAAGGCAATGAATACCCCCATTTAAATCAATGAGAGTTAGGCACCTAGGTGCTTTTGGAAATCTCACTAGGCTCCTATCTGCTTCTTTATGCACCTAAATACCTTACAAAAATCTGATAGTGACTGAAGACTTGTCGGCCTAATAATGTACCTTAGGTTTTGTGATACTATGGAGTATCACCGGCCCTTTCATATGCTATTTTATATTAAATTTTCAATGTTTTAATATTCTATTATGTATTTATTTTATTTTAATTATTTACTACTGTAGTACCTAGGAGCCCCAATCAGGAACCAGAACCCCACTGTGCTAGGCACTGTATGAGAAAAGAACAAGTCAGTTTCTGCTCCAAAGAACTTACAATATAAATATAAGACAACAGATGGGCATGGGAGAACATGGAAATATGAGACAGTATTGGTCCACATCATAGGCCATGGTCATAGCTGTCAAGTTTTTTTTTTTTTTTTATGAATTAGTTTGATCATAGAATATCAGGTTTGGAAGTGACCTCAGGAGGTCATCTAGTTCAACCCCCTGCTCAAAGTAGGACCAATCCCCAGTTAGATTTTTGCCCCAAATCTCTAAATGGCCCCCTCAAGGATTCAACTCACAACCCTGGGTTTAGCAGGCCAATGGTCAAACCACTGAGCAAGCCCCACCCCCAATTATTTTGAAGCACTTTAATCAATTTGGCAGGGCAATATAATAGCTCATTTTTATTCATATATTACTAATCGTGGTTGAGTTATTTTAATTGTCATCATTTTAGCAAAGGAAACATTACATTGCCTTTCAAACCATTCGGCTTTGTTAATGGCGCTTGCATTTTCCATACCAGGTAATGGATGGAGTGGTCACCTGCAATATTTTGGTTTATCTTTTCCCTTTGAAGAAAAACCGCACACAAGTCAATGCAGCTGAACTCCACAGGGCTCTTGAATCCTCTTTTTATTGCAGCTACCGATATAGTAATTATCTGTGCAATTTTGAGCATTGATGGGACCTCAGCTAGTTAAAGCTTTCTAGTGTGGATTACAAAATTGAATGATTACCTTAATTGACCTTCAGTTAGCTACAAAATGTATGACTTAATGAGACTAATGTCTGGTTGGACCTTCAGGCTAGATGACTCCCAGCCTGGTGGCTTTGAGTTTGCAATTTTTCATTTTTAATAACAATTATACCCAAAAGCTTAAGGAAATATGCTAAAATATGTCTGCCTTCCACATTATCATAGAGCAGTGACATCTCCATGAAACATTATTTAAGATTTCAATCATATTTTTGTGCATTTTACAGATACTAGGAAAGTCTG